TCTTTCCCTTTGCTCTATCTCCATGAGCAACACATCCCCTTAGAACAGATGACCATATGCTTGCATCCGCCTTGAAAGGCATCTTTTCCACGAGACCGATGGATTCTTCCAAGAATCCAGCACGGGCCAAAAGGTCGACTATGCACGAGAAATGTTCGATACCCGGGTCAATGTGATATTCCCGTTTCATCGCATCAAATAATTTCCTTCCTTCTTCAACTAGACCGGTATGATCACAAGCAGAGAGAACTCCCATGAAGGTGACACCAGTGGGTCTAATGCCAGAATCCATCATTTTATTGAACAGATCAATTGCTTCAAATCCATACCCATTTGTGGCATAACCCATCAGCATAGAATTCCACGATATTTCATCCGACTTTACCACCGAGTCGAATACTTTTCGACCATACTGAATCAATCCACACTTGCAGTACAAATCAATGAGGGAAGATGACACTATCTGATCTGAATCAAGCCCAACGATGATCGCCCTCGCAAAAACCTGCTCACCGAGTTCAAGAGAAGAAACACTAGCACACGCACTGACGACGCTAGAGAGGCTAAACTTATCCGTCCGCAAGTCCAGTCTGTGCATATGGAAGAAGAGATTCAAGGTTTCAACTGGACAGCCATTTTGGCTGAGACCCACTACCATTGAGTTCCAGGAGATCAAGCTTTTCTTTTCGATTTTCTCGAATATCTGTTTTGCCTCTTCGATTCTTCCGCAGTTGGAATATACCGCGATCATGGAATTCAGTAAGATCGTGTCGTAGTTCTTCAGCTCTCCGAAGAGTTTGCAAGCATCGGTAGGGCTTCCACACTTAGAGTACATGTCAAGCAAAGTGCTAGCTACGACTATGTCATCGATAAACCCGAATCTACAAGCATGACAATGCATTGCTTTACCGTTTTCGAGAAGGCCCAAACCATTGCAGGCATTTACGACACTTGCAAGCGTAGAAGAATCCTCTCTAACTTCATATCTCCTCATCTCATTGAAAAGAACTAATCCTTGAATCTCCATGTTGTTTGAAATATACCCGGATATCATCGCATTCCATAGAACTACGCATCTGTTCATTTTCCTATCAAAAACCTTTCTGGCATCATTCACTCTCCCACAATCTGTATAACCTGAAATCAGCGCAGATATAGAAAAGTCATCAGGTTCCTCCATCTGATCCAACACATTGCTTGCCACGCTCAAATCACCACATTTTGAGTAAAAATTTACAAGAGAACTACTCATTACCGAGTCATATTCGATGCCACCGATCAATATATGAGCGTGTATCTGCTTTCCACATTTCAAAGCATTCAAATCAGTACAAGCCCCAATCACAGTGGACAATAAGAACGCATCAGTGCTGGGATTCAACTCCTTGAACAACCTTACAGCCTTTTCAGGATACCCATTTCGAGTATACCCATGAAGCAATGAATTCAACGTCACAGAATCTTTCCTCGGCATCTCGCCGAATAACCTCGCGGCAACACCAAGCTCGCCTGCCTTCGCGAAACCAGAGACAACCACATTCCAAGTGAAATTGTTCCTTTCCGGCATCAATTCAAACAACTTCATGGACATGTCCCTATCCCCCGACTTCATATACCCTTCAATCATGATGTTCCACGAGAAACAGTTTCTGTCAGACATTTCGTCGAACAGGTTTCGCGCGTGGCTTACACTGCCACACCTCCAATACATCTGGATTATATTATTTGCGGCAATCACCATTGAACTAAGAAGACCCTTCTTGAGGAACAAGCCATGGATTTGTCTCCCTAGGGCTTCACGAGTTCTGGTGTTGCAGGATTGAAGAAGACGGACATAGCATTGATAATCTCCTTCCATGGCGGGTGACCGGTTCCCCAAATTATTTATTATTTGAGAAAAAAATAAATAAACCCCATAATTCATGTTTATGACAACCAAAACGGTGTCGTATATAGAGAACGAGGGAACCCGGAGTTGACCAGAGTCAACTCCGGAGCAAATGTTCAGTAGCGTTGGGTTTTACTTGGAGCAATAATAGTCTTGCGTAGTTCCGCTTTACTTTTAACTTTTTTAACTTTCTGTTAATCTACCACTATTTTATAATAATAATAAAACCCAGTTTAGTACATAATTTAATTCTTATTTATTTTATAAATAAAAATTTATAGAACCGAATAAATAATTTTCGTATAAATATCTAACTGAACCCGACAAATATTGAATCACAATCCGAATTAAAACTAAATCGAAACGAACTATTTAACATTTGATTATAATTTGGTATAATTGTAATAAATCAAAAATACGATTTCCGAACCGAACTTAAATACCGAGCCAATAACCGTAACATTATAAATTTGATTGTATGCGTCGTTCCAATTTCATTCTATATAAATCTAAATCGCTATTATTTCCCATTATAAATTTGATTTAGGAATTTTTTATTTTAAAAAAAAAAATCTTGATTGTGAGGAATTCTAATTTTAACTTTTAGTGCGCCAAAACCGCAAAACAAAATATTTCGATTTCAAAGAATTATAAGTCATCCGTTGGGATGTCGTCATTGCTGACGCAGACGCATGCAATAACTACGCTGGCCCACATTTACAAACAATGAAAATAAATAAATAATTATATAAACGATGACAAAAAAATTAAATTTTTGTGGGATCGATTAGATAATATATTAATAACGATAATTGTTCGAATTAGGGGTGACCATTTCGTTTATTAACTGAATAATCGAGTTGAACCGAATTGAATAAGATATAACCGTATTCGAACTACCCAGTATCAAAACCGAACAGTTATGATTTTCTAAATCCGAAAAATCGAAACCAAAGTATCGAACCGAACCGAATAAAAAAATAACCGAAAAAACCGATGATTTCTTTGAAAAAAATGAATTTTTTACCGAAACCGAACCGAACCGGAATTATGTAAAAATTGAATGGTTATAGTTTTTTATAACCGAAATAACCGAACCCGAAATAACCGAAGCGAAATCCAAAATGACATCCCAGGCGGAACGAACAACAGTCGCGTTTGTATGGGCACACGTATGATAATAATTTATATACGTGGGTGATGAATTTGTCTTCGATATTATCGTATAGATATTAATTTACTCAATTTAATTAATCATATTTTGAACAATTAATGACTTTAATTATCAATGTCACGCCCACAACGTTTTATTTTTATTTTCTATTTGTTATTTTTGTATGGTATGGAATGAATCCCTTGACTTTTGAAGCACATATCAACGTCCTCTCAAAATTAAATACCAATTAACAATTTAGTTTTCTAACAATTTATTTCCGAATATACTTTTATTAAACGATACAACATACTTCTTAAAGGTCGAAATAGTTTAATTTTTGGTGGTATTTATTGGTAATTAATTTGCATCGGTAAGTAAATTGTTGAAATTCAACAATAAAAAAAATCATTATTCATGTAATAACATATAAAATAGGCGCAATATTCGTTCGGTATCATATCATTTTTCTAATAGATATTAATTTTAGTACCATTTATTTGAAAATAAAAGAGAAATAATAAAGTTATTAAAATAATAGTTTGGACATTAAATCGCAAGTTTCTGTTTAAAGAGTTTTAAAAACTATTATGGTAAATAATCAGACAAAATCTGAGTGGAAATATTTCGTCGGTTTAGGCAAGAAGCAGTGGAAATCTAAAACAGACAAAAACACATTTTCCCTTCAAAGCAAATCCACCTCTCTCTCTTTCTATCTCTTCATCATCATCGTCATCTTCTCGTCTCACCGGAAATTCTTGTTCTTCAGATCGCGATGTTAGATCCTTCATCGAATTCCCACAAAACCCAATTGTGTTTCCCCAATACCTCAGACGACCACGAAGATTCCGGCGTCTGTTCACCTCCGCTATGGAGAACGAGCCCGTCGATGAGCCCTCGTCACCGGAGCAGTTACCGGAGCCTGTCGCCGTCTTCGAAGGCTCAAGCCATCGCTCGCGGACAGCGGGAGCTTATGGAGATGGTCAGTAAGATGCCCGAGTCGTGTTACGAGCTTTCGTTGAAGGATCTCGTGGAGGCGAACGCCAGCGAGTTAGAGGAGAGGAAGGTGTTCGATGAAATGCGGCAGAGAACGAGTAAGCCGAATAGGGTTGTGAAGAAGATGAACAGCGATAAATGGCCGGAGAAGAATCGGGCCGAGAGCGTGAAGAATCGTGGGTTGCTTCTGAAAATGGCGTTTCCGGTTAATTTGGGTTCGAAGAAAAGTTCGACAAAGAAGAAGAAGAAGAAGGATGATGATTCATCTGTGACATGTAAAGGGTATTGTGTCTCGTCAAGGCCTTCGGACACTGATGGATCTGCGAGAGTTTGGGACAAAGATTGGTGGAAGAAGGAATTATCTGAATCGCAAGGGAGCGATAGTGGGATCTCAAGTATTAACAGTGGAAGCACGAAGAGCAGTGGTAGTAGCAGTAGCAGTAGCAGTAGCAGTAGCAGCAGCAGTAATCGAAGAAGCAGAGGCAACATCATAAGGTAATATTCATAATTTCTTGAAGGAGATGAAAGGTTTTAACTTAGACGATTCACATAAAATATTTTCATTCTGCCTTTTTTATTTTGGATACTGAAAATCTGATTTTGAAGGAAAGAATCTGATTTCCATAATGTCATTGAAATACTTCACATCTGATTCTTGGTAGTTATCTTCTTGTGGAATTAAAATTTTCCGAGTCAATCTATAATTCTTTTTGTATATGCTGCCAAAAATTTGGGATTACATAACAAAAAAAGGCGACTTTTCTTTAACGTAACTGCCGGTTCTTTTTCTCTTTCTTCACTTTAAGGACCTGTTTTCTGATACTTTTTAGTTCTATCTTGTGAATTGTGCAATGATCATGTTGAGTTCTATACGGATGGTTAATGGGTATGAAGGGTTTTTGAAATATTGAAAATATCGAAGCAAAATTTGTATTTTTTTTGTTGGTGGCAGATGATTTTGAGGTTAAAGTTTCAAACTTTATCAAGTTCTTGAACAAGTGACTCGTAAAAGACGTCAGATTCATGGCCATTTTCTCCGAGTTGTGCTTAATTTTGTAACATAATCTCGGTTGTCATTTCTCAAATTTATAGATTTTAATCTTTAGTTATGGTTGTTTCTTGCAGGGAAAACAACTCAGGTTGTTTGTGTTTCCTCCAGAATTTACATATATGTGACTGATGTTCATGAACGATTGGTGACACACACATATATATATATATACATATATATGCATATATGTGTCATGTGTGTGTGTGTATAAGCTTGAAACTTTTCTTGGATATATGAACAAGTACAGAAGAATATGAAGACGGGGAAAGAGGAAATGGCGAATGTAAAAACGTCGAGTGTGCCACCAAATATTCTAATTTTTCCTTGTAAAATTTTCCCATTTTTTTGGGGGAGTAATAAGTCTATGTGTTAAGTCTATTGGATTTACAACTTTTGGATTGTTCTGTATATCTTTTTGTTCTGTCACTTTTGTTTCTATGCAATGGGGGTGGAGACTGCTCGACGGTTGATTTCGGGATGTCCGACCCTCGGGATAGCCGGCCCTGAATCTGTCTCTCGGGGTACCGATCGAGTTTGAAATCTTATTGCCGTATCTATGTCATTTGAACACTCGAGATACGAATATCTGTGGGTACTCTAAATACTCGGTTACTAGTGGGGTTATTGGCCGAGGAGGACGAGAGATAAGTCGAGAAAGGGATATGGGTATGACGTTTTAGGATGAAGAACCCTAATTCTAATCGTAAACGAGACTGACAATATATATATATATATAGATGCAAATTTTTAGGGATGAGTGTTCCGGGTTTCAATTCGATTCGGCAATAGTGTATTCGACTCTATAAAAACATTGTATCAAACTAGAATCGAATGTTAATTTAATCGGTTTGATTCGTTATTAATGTTGGATTTGTTTAGAATGATTTCGTTACATGAATACCAAATAAGAAGTATTCACATGTAGGATGGATAATTCAAGTTTTGGTTTCATATTCATAGATTTGGTTTGTTATTTATCGGATTCGGTTTGAGAATGATTTATTCAGTTCTACTACAAAATTAGAATCGGATATTATTCGATTCGGTTCATTTTCGATTCGAATCTAAATTTTTGAATCAAAACGTTCATCCGTACGATTCTTCATCGATCAAAATTAAAACTCAATTCCGTTTCCTAGTAGGGTACCAAACGTTTTGGACTTATTTGCCAAATACTAACTTAAGATATTAGTGCTTATTAATAATTATTATTTTGATGTTAAATCAAAATCACATCATCATCAATCAACCTAATGAATCTCTCCATCATTCCTTAACTTGGAAGAGACGTACTTATACTTTGTTGTGGTTCCAAAGAAGGGAAATGGATCCACTAATGAGGAAGACTTTCGGATATCTCGTCCAAAAAAAAAAAAAAAAAAAAAAAAACGCGTTCGCATCTATTGCGTTTGGAAAACGTCAGCGTTTCGGAACTCCTTGTCCGGAGGAAAAATCAAGTCAGTCCAGACGTGGAAACTCAGATCGAACGCGACCGTCAGCGACAGCGTTGGGATTTTTTCTGTCACTTTGACTGGTTCCATGGCGCAACGAGTAAAAAAAAAAATCAAAACACGAAGTCGAGGTAGAACCCACCAAGAAAGAAAAAATGGAAGTCGTCGTTGATTTCTGAACGGCGAAGTCCCAGTTCGAGAAAGAGAGAATTTTTCCGACAACCTCTCAAAGGTTATTAATTCATCGTCTTGATCCTTGATTCTTACAAAAAAATCTTCTGTTGGGCGCTGCGTCTCATCTGCTCTTAGGTCTTGACTGGTAAATCTCCTTTGATTTCTGTTGTCTCAGGACTCATGAATCACTGTTTCCTTCAGTTCAAGCTCTTATGATTTTGCAATTTGCTTGGGTAATCTGACATGGGTCTCCAAAAAGAGAGCGACTTTCCGTTTGATTTTCCTTCTTCCTTCACGTTCTAAGGATTTCAGTTAATTTCGTTAGACTTTAGCAGTTCTGTTGTAGGATTTTGATGTTCATGGTCGGAGTCTGAAATCATTTCTCTTAAGAAAAACCCAATTTCTTTTTTTCCAGAACTCCGACCAAATCAAGTAGCCATGAAACATCTATCTGATCCTAGAAAGGTGCAATGGACCTTTTGTTGGCTTAACAATCTGATCTTAGTGATGCGGTTCCATTCTTGATCTACATTGTCCTGAACTCTCTTGTTCTAGCTAGGATTCAGTGCTTATGATGTCTCTTCCTGTTCATGTAGGAAACTCGGACTTTGGAGTTTAATCGAGAAGCAATCTCGGCTCGAGATGGCGAATAACGGGGCAGCGTCATGTGCAGAGAGGGCTACAAATGGTATGCTGGTTGGTCCTGATTGGACAATCAACATCGAACTCTGCGATATCATCAACATGGATCCGAGGTAAAAGTTCATGATGTTCTCCTCGAAAATTCTCGTTTTCAGTTTGTGCCGTTGTTGTGTCATTCTCGATGTTTTAGCGAGGAACGAAACTCCCGGGTTATTATAGGCTCTTTCGAGAAACTTACCCTAAATTTCCTTTATTGATTTCTGTAGCCAAGCCAAAGAAGCATTGAAGGTGCTCAAGAAGCGGTTAGGAAGCAAAAATCCGAAAGTACAGCTTCTAGCTCTTTATGTGAGTGCCTTTTCTTTCCCCGCCACCGTTCTCGGGCTTGTTTTCATATATTTGCCGACTCCTCTCTGTATAGACTCCGGAAAAAAAAAGGGTTCAAAATCTGAGATTCGTGATTGGATATCGGTGCAGGCATTGGAAACCCTGAGTAAGAATTGCGGTGAGAATGTGTATAAGCTGATCATAGACCGCGGTATTTTGCACGACATGGCCAAGATAGTGAAGAAGAAGGTTCACTTACTATCCCCTTTCACCTCCTCTGCTTGTAATATCACTTCAACTGTTTTGTTTTGTACTGGCAAGCTCTCGGCTCATGCTGAAACTCCCGAGCCGATTTTGCAGCCTGACTTGAATGTAAAGGAGAAGATACTTAGCTTGTTAGATACATGGCAAGAGGCTTTCAGTGGACGTGAGGGAAGATACCCGCAATACTACAACTCGTATAATGAACTCCGGGTAAATTACATTGCCTTCTTTTGTAATGATCGGGCGATAATGATTTATTGATAATCGTTTTTGTTTCCATGTGAAATTTTTAGTCTGCTGGATTTGGTTTTCTGCCACGGACAGAGAGCAGTGTATCGTTCTTTACTCAGCCCGTTGCGTATTCTGCAGCGTCGGATGAAGATGCCGCTATCCAAGCTTCACTGCAGAGTGATGATGCTTCCACTCTAAGGTACTCCAATGTAAAATTGAAAAAGATTCTAAACATCAATCTAGTATTGTTTTTTGGGAAAATCCCATACAAAACTGCCGGATTGATACATAAGCTTTAAAATTTCCAGAAAAATACACGAACTTTACCCGACTCCCGATTAAAATCGGGAATTTTACAAAGACTCCTTAAAAACTACATGGCATTTGATGAGAGTTGGTAACAAATTCGTGTTTTTATACGAGGTTTTTCCTTTTTGTTTTTTTATCTCATATTCAAGCCAAAGCTTTGGCCGACCCCAAATGAACTTGGGAATGAGGCCATGTTGTTGTTGTATTCAAGCCAAAGCTTATCATTGGTATCCGTCCCGTGTTTTTTTTTTTCAGCTTGGAAGAGATCCAAAGTGCTCGGGGAGCTGCCGATGTCTTGATGGAAATTCTTGGAGCCCTCGATCCTCGGCATCCCGAGGTAGAATATGGCGGTGGCAGGATAAGAGTTTATGGTTCAATTCATTGCTTTCAAGTCTAAAATCGGTACTTTGTCAGGATTTGAAGGAAGAAGTTATTGTTGACCTTGTCGAGCAATGCCGCAATTACCAGAAACGTGTAATGGCTATGGTGAACACCTCTACGTAAGGATTCACTCCGCTTAACTCTTGTTTCTGTCGTTTTTCATGGTCTCTTTCCGATGACGAGATTGACGGGGTTTTTGTTTTCAGAGACGAGGAGCTTCTCTGTCAGGGATTGGCATTGAACGATAGTTTGCAGCGTTCTCTTCAGCGTCATGACGATATCGCCAAGGGGAACCCTGTTTCCACGAGTGAAGTCGCTACCGCTTCCCCTCCCGTACCGCTTGTCAACATCAACCATGATCATGATGATGATGATGACGACGATGATGATGATTTTTTCCAGCTAGCTCACAGGTAATGGCGTCTATTTATGTCAAGTTTCATGCTTTCTTGCTTATTCTTGTTAAAGGTCCAAGACTTTGGATTGCAGACCTTCATCTTAAGTTCAGCCATGGAGGTTCTGTTTCATGGAAAATCCCTGCAACTGAGCAAACTCCATTATTCTGCAGGTCGAAGAGGGAGAAGGGTTCACAATGGTTCAGCCCTGTTCGTCCTCCACCACCTCCTACAATGAGACCGGTATCCGTTGATTCCGATAATGCTGACTATATCCGCGGCGATATATACAGACCGAAAGGATCTCCAGAGAATGTTAGACCACCACCAGCTCGAGGGTATTCCCCTTCTGTTTTTGATGATCCATTTCCCATGAGAAAATCTCCCGAGCAATCACTGGTCGTTGGAAATCTCCCGCCACCGCCTTCCAGACACAACCAGAGGCAACAGTTCTTCGAGAGACATCGTAGTTCGAGCAGTGGCTCGGATTCCTCGTCCGACGGTCTGGTGGGTCAGACTCGGAACCTTTCTCTGAATCCTAATGCTTCTGGTATCGGTCCGAAGAAAGAGGAGGATGCCCTTTTCAAGGACCTGGTTGAGTTTGCCAAAGCCAGGTCGTCTTCTTCCTTCCCGAAACCCAACGGTCAGAATAACCGGTCGTTTTGAGAGAACTTCAGTTGTCATTGATTGAATGGATGATGATGATGATGATGATATAGTATCTTTGTTACTGTCCAATTAAAAGTGAATCTAGACCACAGTTTTTCCTTTTTCTCTTTAATACCATTTAAAGTCATGGCCTTTATACAAGATTTGCATCTTGAAGCAATTTATAGAATTACCGGAGAAAAGTACCAAGGAGATTTTTGTTCACTTAATCCTTTGGGCACAAATCTAGATAAAACCACATTAAACAAACCCTTTTATTTAAAATTCATTATAAAAACCATCAATTATTAACTTTAAACAAAGATTATCAACTATATAGATTATTTAAAACCAATCTTTTACTTTAAATTTATTTTAAAAAAAACTATTAACTATTAATTTTAATAAAAAATCATCATATATCTAAATTACTCAAAAATTATTATGTTGTACATTTATTTTAAAATTTTTATAAAATTTGAATAAAAAAATATATTAATTATATAATTCTAAAAATCACAATAAAAACATAATATTTATTTAAATTTATCATATTGTAATATTTAACATTTATATAAATATTATAAAAATTAATTTTTATATAATAAATTTGTATATAAATAAATATTATATTTAAAATCGAGTATATTTTCTTGGTTATAAATATTATCTTTAAATTTTTTTATATATTAATATTTGAGAGATTGTAAATTATAAATATTTTATTAGTTAATAAATATAAGAGATAATATATATTTATTAAAATACAATAATTTTTATTAATTTATATTTTATTGGTAGTCCCATTTTTTTTTTGCAGTTTTTGTTTTTATTTTATTTGTGGAAGCAAAACCCTGTAAAAATACAAAATTTCCCATTTTCAGTAGCTCAAACAAATCTCACTAACCAGGCATTACAAAAAAACACCATTTAAGGGAAAAATGATAATGATATGTTTCTGTCTCTGAATCAGAGAATCTGTGTGCCCATGAGAGGTAAAGGAGGGAGAAAGAAGAAGGAGCTCTGCAGCAAATGTCAAGAGACTAGCGCCAGCACTCACTCGCCGATCGAAGAACAAGAAGTGGGTAACCCTTGTTTTGTACCGATCGATACCCTAAATACCGTAAATTTTCTGGGTAGAGAACAGATTTGCGTAGTGTTAATAGGAATTGCAGATGGGTTCGATAATTGGTTCGATTATATGAAGTAATTGGGATTGAATTTGACAGGAGAAAGAAGAATTCTGTCCATCCCTTTTCGATTCTCCCATGAACGTTGCTTTTGTTTCTCGTATGTTGTGGAAAAGGAGGGCTCAAAGGGATAATATCCAACACAACTTGATGATGTTTGTAATGATGAAAAGAGTTTTCGTCTGCAGAACTGTTGAAATCAGACTTCTCAATGTTCTTCCCATCAATATGCCTAAGCTGTTTGATTTTTGTGTGAGTTATGTTGTTTCATCCCTCAGATCGTTAATTTTTGTGGGATTTGTTTGAAAAACATAGTATTCTTGGTTTCTGATTGTTTGAACTTCCTGCAGAAGTAAAAAGTTGAGGGCTTTCGTATTGGAGGAGAATTTGAATGACTCAGAGTTGTTCACTAGGCTAGATAACGGTAGGAGACGTTGATTCCTGGACAAGACGTAAGTTGGGTCTTGCTTAGCCGTGGAAATGCTTGGCTTCTGAACTAGGTTTGTGATCTTTCCTGTCAGGAAATCGAAAAAAATCTCAAAATTTGTTTACGTAGTCATATGATTGTTCTGTGGAGAATTGTTTCTGAATGATTTTTTGATTAAGATATCTCCAATGAGTTCCTGTTAAACAATGGAAAAGGGTAGCAGCCTTATTTAAACCGTTAATGTTGTGTTTGATGGTTGGTTTGACAATTGGGATTTGCAGAGTGATTTCCTTCAGAGGGGACGAGTTCCGTTTGCTCTTCGTTGTGGTGGATAATATCTTTATGTGTGATTTCAGGTTGAATTTGGTAACCGTGCACTTGTGTTAATAGATAAGATAATCGGTAAATATGGTATTCTTATGACAGTATCAAACATTTTATGATTGGACATTCGATTTATTACAAGAACGAGAGAAAATGAGTAATGTGTGTTAAACAAGGTTTTTGTCTAAGAGATGGCTTATGCTTTGTTATGTCGTCAGGTTAGAATATTCTTTGTTTGAGGACGGGTTGCGAAACTTAACATATCAGTTTTTGTGTTATTGCATTTACCCAATATGTTCTCACTGTCAATCGAAATGAAAGTTAAACAAGCGTGTGAACGTCGTGAGGATTTCATTGCCTAAATTAATGATATGAAATGCTATATTGTTTCCTCTTTTATGGTAGGGCATTCTATTAGCCTTTATCTTTCTGCCACTTTGACAATTTCCAATATCGATCTTTGTGAACCGATGCTTGGTTCTCTTTCAACACCGTAATGGATAATATCATTTGTAGAAGTTTTGGAGCTACGAAAACGTGCTTCTCAATGATGTGCCTGCTTGAATTAGGTGAGCATTTCGTTATGGAAGGAATTTAACTTTGGTTTTCTTGTTACACTTTTTGTCTGGTTATTGTAAGCATTGCATTATCTATTCCTTGCAGGACGATGGATCTAGACCTGAGATGCTCTGATCCATAAAAATTTAGTTATCGTTGACAACACATCCTTTGGGTAAGGATGTTTCGTCCATACATGATGATGCATTGACCGATGCATTAAGGTTAATGGTTGGATCATCCACAGGGACTTTTCATACTTTTAAATTTCTTATTACCAAATGAGAGGATCTCAAATATGTAACAAGATGAAGATGGTATAGAGAGTGGCATGTCTATATATGGGGTAACACAATAGCGGGCAATAATTTCATTTAAGAAATGAATTGATGAGCTTTAAGATTTGGATAAGTTCACTATATCTAGATCGTCCTCAACGAGGAAGAAAGAGCCACCAAAAGGGTTAAAGTGTCAAATGCGATATAAATGTTAAATTTCTACCCCATACAGAAAAGTTTTCGTATAGACAAACAAGTGCGCCAAAATAAATGCTAAAACTCTACCTCATGGAGGAAAGGCTCGCAGAGCAGACTGAAGGAAGGGGTTGCGAGTGGTTCTTTCGTATGGAGGATCACGAGCAGCACGAGGCGGAGATTTAGCATTTATGTCAATGTTTATATGAATCTTTCCTTCCAAGGTAGAGATTTAGCATTTATATCGCATTTGTTTTTTTTCTCTTTTGTTGGATTCTCTTTCCAAATCTAGATAGTGAATTCATTTAGATTTTAGTGTTCATATAATTATTCCTTGCTTTGGTTAAACCTCTCTCTATATAGACCCGCTCCTCCGTCCTCTACATACCCGACTTCTTTTCATTTGATTGTCAAGAATTGACAAGAATGAAAAGATCTTTTGTGAATGATCCGGCTTTCGATCCGAATGCACTTGCCAAGTCATCTCGTGTCTGGATGCAACCTCCTTACCATGGGATGCACAACACAATGCCGATGCCTGAGATGATGTTGCCTTGTTATCCAGCAACCAGCGAGGTGAGTCGATTCATTTAGTCGTTGCTCTCTTTGTATTTTCTCAAATTCTTTCTGCTTGCTCGATCATAAACCTGTCTAAACGCATGAAGGATTTGTGATTAACAGGTTGATGAGGACTATTTAAAGCAAAAGATGGGCCTAACTCTGGAGGTCTTTTGGCAACGGCAGCTGAGTGAGATGAAAAATTTCACAGGTGATTAATTTTAGAGATGTTTAGATCATCGGATTCGGAAATAAGGAGATCGGTATCGCTGTTTTTTTTCTGTTTTTGTAATTGTCTGTTTTCTTTGTTTTTCATTTGTGCTGTGGATCACAGGGGGGTTCAAAAGCGAAAATCAGTTGCCTCTGGCTCGGGTAAAAAAGATTATGAAATCTGATCCTGAAGTCAAGGTATGAAAAGTCGACGAAATCTTTTTCATCGTGAAATCGTTCTTGGATTTCCGAACTCCAGTAATTTTGGTGATTTGGGTGCTGAAATTCTGATTCTAAGTTCACATTTGATGAAACCATTGGTTTCATGAGACAGATCTTGATCTATCGTAGTCGTTTAAATGTTTTTTTCTTGAATCGATCATATACTAAGACGGGATCTTGTGAGATTTTTCTTTTTTTATAAAACGAGATTGCATTTTGACGATCAGATGATCAGTGCGGACACGCCTCCCGTGTTTGCAAAGGCATGCGAGATGTTCATTCTGGAGATGACACTCCGAGCGTGGATTCACACCGAATCACGAAACCGTGACACCATCCAACGCTGCGATCTTGCTGAGGCGGTAAAGCGTTCGGAAACTTTCGACTTCCTGATTGATCTCGTCCCTTTCGGACCGCACTGTGTTCGCCATCAGGTATATATAGCTTTTATTCAATCTTTTCTGAATCTGAATCCACTAAAGTATGAGGCTTATGGTTTGGTTTATAACTTTGTGTGCTGAATTTTTTCGGTTTAGGGTGTGGATCAAAATGCTGTGCAGGAGCAAGTCGGACCGGCTGCTACTGTTCAACCCGTTTTTCCATTACCGAACATGGATCCGCCGGTTAATCTCAACCCGATCGAACAGGTATAACGATTCTCGATCTGATCCGTACGGAACCCGGATGGTTTTTACTGAATGCATTGCTAAGTTAAGATCTTTTTGGTCTGTCGGGTTTGCAACCAGAACCTGGAGGTTCCTCCCGAGCTGTTGGCCGATTCCTTCATGACCGATGAGCCGTTTGACCTCAACTTCGACTTCCCGGTACGTAAAAACCCGTAATCTACGCATTTATACTCGTGGAACATAGAAAATTTACGCATTTCGCGCAAAATCTCGTAAAATTTATAGACTTGGATATGAAATGAACTGAAATGATATCCGGAGAACCAGAATTTGCATTTACAGATATGGTTGGTCGGTTAGTCATTAAAGCATTGGCTATGGAAGGTATTTCATAATTGTGTTCCATAATTTTTCAATGTCTTGTTGGGTCATGGAGATTAACAGCTTTGCATTTTTAGATGGAAAAGATACTACCATTTAATTTGTATATCAATGTTTGGGTTCAACGTCGGTTTTCATTAACCGGTTGCAAACCGTACCGGTTTTATTTTGGTTTGTAATGCTTTGTTATCTGTGGTTTTGGTTCTGCAGTGAAAATGGGCCATGGAGAGGAGATGAAAGGCTTCCTAGAAACAATGAAAAACTTATTTGATCTTACAAAATAATTTGGATCATCAATCTATGTGTAGGTCCATGGTTATATCATATATAATAAGGTCTGTGTTTTTGTGCTTGTGTTCAGACCATTGTTTATGTATTTCAAATTTCGGTTTTAATAAAATGGATGAAGGAAAAAAAACTTTATATTATGTTGTGTGTAACTTTTGGAATTTCTCTGATTCTTTTGCAACAAAATGAAACGTTTATAGAGAATCTAATCTTCGGCACAAATGCATGCCAATTGTAATAAAAATAGGAGTAGATGTTTTAGATTTCGATTATATTTTTATTTTATGATGTTCGAATTTATTTATTTTATTAAAACTATATTCGTTTAGTTTTTATATTGATTTTTAGTTTGGTACGAATTTTACTTGGATTTGTTTTTCATTAAGAAGAATTTTAACTTTTGTTTTTTCTGTTTTTATTAATTACTTGTTTTGAATTCGTTTAATTTATTTATTTTTATATTTCTTTAGTTTTACAACTTGGTTTCATTTAAATATAGTTACATATTATTGGGTTAAATTTGATTCTTTTTGTACAACTAATGAAATATTATGATTGAAACAAGTTTTTTTTTTTGAAAAACATATATAGTCCTAAAATGTTTGTCTGTTCCACGTAAATAATTGCTTGTAATGTGTGTGTGTGTGTGTACACATATATAATAATTATTACTAGTGTTTGTGGGCTCCTTGGGAAAATATATAACAAATTATTCAACAAGTGCTAAACGTATAGAAAGGGGTATATCTTATATAACAAAATTTTTGTAAAAAGATATTTGCATATTAGTTTTTAAAATCTCTATAAAAAGACAGAAACCCCTATTGACTCCTACATTACGGTAGTTTAAAAAGTGTAGCGAGAGGAAGAGATCAAATGTTAATTTTTAAAATTTATTGTATTTATTGTGTGATATTCCTTGACAAGTTCTTGATACGATTTTTTTTTCTACAAAAAAAAAACCTTGTAATGTCCAAGTTCATGCAAGGATTGCTAGATCATGACAAAGACTAGCATCCATATTGTTGAAATAGAAACAAAATATGGAGATTTGATATGATTGATAATAATTAAAGGCATAATATCAATTAAGAATAAAATATATATTGTGATAATTATATTTTGCCTTATTTGTTTCTTTCGTATATTTATTTCCTTGTTTCTTTCAATAACTTTTCCTATAAATGTATGGATTATTTTCATTGTAATGTAAGAAGAAAGAAGAGATGTAGCAATAAAAGTATTCCCGTTCTTTTCTCTTTTGTTCTTTCTTTCTAATTTAATTTCCGTATTTTATTTTTCAATATGGTATCAGAGCCTGGTTGCGATCTGAACTATATGTTTCTTTTTTTCTAATTTTCTAATCTCTTCTTTCTTTTGCGTTTTGGATGTTCATATATCCAAATCGTTCAAAGGGGAGTAAAAAACCCAGATTCAAACGATGTGCTATGACAAAAAGAAGTCAAAGCTAAAAACTCTAAGATCAAGCAAGATGCTATGACAAAAAGAGTTAAAGGTAGAACTTTAAAGTCAAGCGAAGTGATTTGAAAGAGGTTAATACTCTCTAAATGAATGAAATTTGGTTTCTATGGATTGTTCTAATAACAGTGAAGTTTTTCATCATTTTGTTGTATCTTCAAGATTGATTTTTGAATTCTTTCAAAATCAATCTTGAGGGGGAATGTTGAAATAGAAACAAAATATGGAGATTTGATATGATTGATAATAATTAAAGGGATAATATCAATTAAGAATAAAATATATATCGTGATAATTATATTTTGCCTTATTTGTTTCTTTCGTATATTTATTTCCTTGTTTCTTTCAATAACTTTTCCTATAAATGTATGGATTATTTTCATTGTAATGTAAGAAGAAAGAAGAGATGTAGCAATAAAAGTATTCCCGTTCTTTTCTCTTTTGTTCTTTCTTTCTAATTTAATTTCCGTATTTTATTTTTCAATACATATTTGACGTGGTAAAAACGCAGAAGATTTCTCAGAGTTTTCCCTATAAATTAAAACTCTTCATGGATATATTTCTGAAATAGCAGAAAGATTCGATCAAAGTTTCTTCTTACATAATTCCCTGTTGTATTGTTGCGGAGACTTCTGAAGCTTGTCACAACTTGCGTGGTCGGTCTCCTACAAATCCCACATCGATCAGAACCAGAAATATCACAAATGGTGAGATCGGAGGTTTTGTTCTTGGCTCTGCTATGTGTTGCGGTTCAGACAGGACCAGTGAATGGGCAAGAAGTTCAACCCGGCTGCGAAACTCGGTGCGGGGATGTCACAATCAAGTACCCTTTTGGCACATCGCCTGATTGTTACCTAAACGAATATTTCCTCATCACCTGTAACGAGACCGAGCAGAAGGCGTTCTTGCGAGGCGGAAACATCCAAGTTCTTAACATCTCCCATGACGGAGGGCTACGAGTCCTGCTGGAAAAATCATCCCTTTGCAACAACTGCAACACAAATACTACTCTTCTCCATCGCTTCGAGTTTTTCTTGGCTAGTTTCACTCTATCCTACACCAAGAACAAGTTCACTGCAGTGGGCTGCGACACTTACGCATATCTAACGGGTACAGGAGATGACGATTACTCGACCGGGTGCATGTCGGTTTGCAATTCGGACAACGCTTTTCAGGTTCAAAATGGATCTTGTTCCGGCATAGGTTGCTGCCAAATCCCTATCCCTCGAAAAGTCAACCGCTTTAGAATACTGCCGAGAAGCTTCAACAACCATAGTACGGTATGCAACTTCAATCCTTGCAGCTACGCCTTCATCGTCGAAGATGGGTTCTTCAACTTCTGGGCCTCTCGAGATCTTAAGGATCTTGGGAATGTCACGGAGTTCCCTGTCGTGTTAGACTGGTCCATCGGGAACAAGACATGTGACAATGTCGGGGACACCAGCTTGTGCAGTCAGAACAGTAAATGTGTCAACTCCGCTCGGGGACAGGGTTATACATGCCAGTGTCTGCCTGGTTTCGACGGGAATCCCTACCTCCATTCTGGTTGCAAAGGTACAATTCATTTTCATTAGAGTCTTTAAACCTTATTTCTCTTGTTCGCAATCGTTCGTGCGTATGCACGTGTTATCCATACCCGCCTTTCGTTCGTCTCGTTATATCTATAAATTTGCCTCGTTTTCCTTGCTAGATATCGACGAATGCGGTCTAGGCACTCACAAATGCAAAAAGCCGGAATTTTGCAAAAATGCAGTCGGAAGCTTTGAATGTTTGTGCCCAAAAGGTTACGTAGGGAACGCCACCTTGGAGGGGAATGGATGCACGCGCAAGAAGAGCGAATGGGCTATAATCCTTCTTGGTAAGTTCCTCCCATTGCTTTGTCTACTGTCAAGTTAAGAAATTTCGAATATAAACTTGATGGTATGAACAGGAACTACGATCGGTTTCTTGGTCTTTCTGCTCGGTGTGTGCTGTCTGAATCTTGAGCTGAGGCGCCGGAAACACATCAAACTCAGAGAAAAGTTCTTCGAGCAGAACGGCGGTTTCATGTTGAGACAGCGACTCTACGGAAGACAATCTTCTACTTCCACTCCTGGTGAAGATATCAAGATCTTCACCGTAGAAGAGATCAAGAAAGCGACAGACGATTACGATGAGAGCAAAATCCTTGGCGAGGGAGGCCAAGGAACTGTCTACAAAGGGATATTGTCCGACAACAGGGAGGTTGCCATCAAGAAGGCGAGGATCGGAGACAGTAGCCAAGTCGAACAGTTCGTCAATGAAGTAGTTGTGGTTTCACAGATCAACCATAGGAACGTGGTGAAGCTCTTAGGGTGCTGCCTAGAGACCGAGGTTCCATTGTTGGTCTATGAGTTTGTGAGTAACGGTACCCTTTTCGACCATTTGCACACCTCCAAGTTCGGCACTTTTCTTCCATGGGAAGATCGGCTCAGGATAGCTACGGAAACCGCCGAAACCCTCTCGTACCTACACTCCTCGACTTCTGTTCCTATCATCCACCGCGATGTCAAGCCCGCTAATATTCTCCTGGACGACAACTTCTCGGCAAAAGTGTCGGATTTTGGAGCGTCGAAGTTGATTCCTATAGATCAAGAGCAAGTAACAACTCTCGTGCAGGGCACTATGGGTTACTTGGACCCGGAATATTTCCACTCAAGCGCGCTTAACGAAAAGAGCGACGTTTACAGTTTCGGGGTTGTACTCATGGAACTGATTTCGGGGCAAAAGGCATTGTGCTTTGATCGCCCACAGAATGCAAAACATTTGGCATCTCACTTCGCCTCCGCTCTCAAAGAGAACCGTCTCGATGAAATCCTCGACACTCGAGCGGTGAACGCAAAGAATCGCGAGCGGGTAAAAGAAGCGGCCGTGTTGGCGGTAAGGTGCACGCGGGTGAAGGGAGAGGAAAGGCCTAGGATGAAGGAAGTCGCTTCAGCGCTCGAGGGGCTGAAAGTTGTGGCGAAAGATCGTCAATGGATTGATCAATACCCTGAGGAACATGAACACTTGCTCGGTGAACAGATCTTAAAGAGTGAAGGAGACAGCAGTAACAGTGGCTTTGTCTCGGGTTTTGACAGTATCCACGTCGCAACCAACTTTGACATCGAATCAGGTCGTTGATGATATTGTAATTCTTGGTGTCTGAATAACGGTTAATAGCAAACCATGTCGTGAAATGTGTTCAGCCATTTGTTACATTTTGTTTGGGTTATATTTTTGTGGGCCATTTTTATAATAATGAGAAGGGTCGGCTTGGCCCATTATACTCAAATAGGCCCAAGTTAATTCGTTACGTAAATACTCCCCCGATTTGGTGGACATTACGTTTTCCACCATTCAGAACTCGACACGTGTTCTAATCACTGCAAAACAGACGGTAATTTCAGTGAAATTACGCATTCTGCCATTATGATCAGAAACTGACGCGTGTCCTCCTCTTCTTCGACCTTTAATCTTCAGAAGCGTACGACGGAGGAGGAAGAACCAGCGAAAACGACGATGGCCACTGCTAACGTCGTCACCGTCGTGGCGCACGGTAGCGCAAGTTTACTCTGTCCGTGGCGCACGTTAGCAATCTCCGGCCGGAGAATTTCGTCCTTTGTACCGGCGAAGTCGGGGAATTTCTATCCTCTGCGGCGGAGACTCGGTGCACCTCCGCCGATGCGCCTTGTGATTCGCGCCGCCAGAACCGAGTCACGTGGAGTAAACTTAGGCGTAAGAGCTCCACATTTTGAGGTAAGCACGTGTATACAAGAACACATAAGTGTATATGTGGTGTCATGGAGATCGCCGATTGACGGTTATGATCGTTTTTTATTCCTGTAACCGTGTTGAAATTGGAGTAATCGAATCTGTTTACGCATTTAGATGCGAGTTCAAATTTGGTGAGTTTTGGGTGCGACTGTGTATTTGTTTGATATGCATTTATATGGTATAGCTGGTTAAATGTATGTAAATTTCTGTGCTCGATAATCAGCTCTCTATCAGCTTCATGATCTTAGAAATTCATATGGTTCCATGAAACTTTTTGAGTGAACTAGCTGCCGGAGCCACTTACAGGAAATGTGTGGAAATTAGATGATTTCGAGCTATACCCAGCTTTACTGGTGAGTATTTCCATTGTGTTGATTTATTCTTCCTTCTTACTTGATTAGAGATTAGTGCTTTGTTTATTGTGTTTCTCGGGTAATTACATCAGGTTATGTTCATATGCAATCATTGCCCCTTTGTGATACACTTGAAGAAAGAAATTGTAAAGCTTTCTAGTTTTTACATGAAGGTAACCCGACATTTTTTTTCCCTCGTGATGTTTTATGTAATTGAGTCTTGGCTTCGTTTCGGTATGAAAGCAAGATACGTGGGTAATTTTGTATCGTCTGGTTCTGCAGAAGGGTCTTGCTGTTGTTGCAATATCTTCAAACTCTGTCATCACTCACCCTCAGGTTTGTGTATATGACTGTCTTATATCGGCATCACATAGCTGTCAGGTTTATTTCTGATTTTATCTGGTTTTCCCAAATGCATATCCTTTTCACAGGATGGACCTGAGTTCATGGCAGAAGACGCAAGAGCTTTCAAGTACCCATTTCCTTATTTATATGATGAGGTATCCTGTGTCTGTTTATGATCATGTTATTCTCGAGTATTACCAATAGATGATAATTTGTTCTCTAATATGTTCTGAGAAAATTTTCTTTTACCTCAGTCACAGGAGGTTGCAAGAGAATTTGGTGCTGTCTGCACCCCGGAATTTTTCTTGTACAAGAAGGTAGCAAAGTCCTGATCTTTCCAGCCTTCCAGATATGTTTGTTTCTTTTGCATAAAATTGAGAAGCGGGAGCAATGCATGTTCTTTTGTTTGTCCTGTGAGATCATATGCATTAAAATGCTGAAAGATCTAATAAAGTACATTATGCCAATATTTATCTAGCTTTGTGTGTTATATCATAAATTCCTTTGAAGGCAGAAGACAATTTCTCCTTCGTTACTCTATCGAGCATGTTTAGAAACTCTTAACTCATCTTTTCTTCTCCCTTCATGTCTATATTATTAATTTTTCAACAGGACGGCCGTAGGCCATTTGAGCTGGTGTATCACGGTCAATTTGATGATTCTCGGCCAAGCAATAACATGCGTATCACAGGAAGGTTTGTTTCTTGATGTTACTTGTAACAAACTTGAGGGAGGTTTGTATTCTATGATGTTGCAGTAATGTCTATTAATGATCATGTTCGCTTAGGGATCTAAGCCAGGCGATTGACTGTGTCCTCAGCGGTCAACCGGTGCCATCAAATCACAAGCCAAGGTACATTCTGTGATCTTGCTCAATTTGTTTTCCTTAAAATTATTGGTTTATGTTGTCTACAAACTCAGATTATGGACTCACAGCCTTTACTCCGGCTTTTCTTTTCTTTCTTTCTCTTTTTTCCTTCTATTCTTTCAAAAGTGTTGGTTGCAGCATAAAATGGCATCCACAGGCAGAATCATGAGCTGGGAGAATTGGAGTCAGTAAGCTCATTATTTTAATCTTCCATAGCTGATGCAGCATATATGTTCAGGCATGTCATTTGTTGTACAGATTTTCCATTTCTTCTTGGTTCTCCAGTAGAGGAACACTTTTGGACCTCTTAAGAGAAATAAAAAAAGTTGTTCATCTTTGTCTTGTCTACATACCATAAACTTATACTATTATCTTGAATATATTGGAACTAAAAACAAATCATTATTCTCCTCTAAATGCTCTTGTTCTTTTCTATTACCAAAAGTAAAACAATCATGTTTTTATCTTGCTTCCTTTGACCCTTAAATATTATTCATTCCTTGTCTAACCAGCAAATGTTCAAAGAATGAAACTGATAAGGCATTCAGAGTATACGCGAGGAAGAAGCAGAGGAAGTCTGTTGGTTGATTTTTTTTCTTTAGTTTGTGTTGATTGATATTGTAATTAGTATTGTATTTGTCTGGTTGATTGTGTTAGAGTTGGTTAGTATAGGATTACTGATTGCGTGTCTGTATAAATAGGTTTGTTTGTTTTCATTTTGGTGAATTGTGGGTTGTCGGTCGAGAGAGAGGACCTCTTGTTAAACAAGTTGTTCGGATTACAAATCGTTGATCATTGTTGTTACAGAGATGAGAAATTGTTCGTAAGTGCTTCTGAAACCTATCAGAAACCTGCCTGAGTGTTTCTATGGATATGCACAGATCATATGGATCTTTTTTAGCATTATCTTCATGTGGTTTGTCTGATCAAAATTTCAGTAGCGCACTTTGCTGTGCCCCGGAAACAACGGTTATACCTTTGCCTTTTCATTGCCTCCCCATAATAATCTTCCTCGCACCTTGCTTTCCCTAAAACAGCTTTCTAGTGCCATATGTTTGCAGTCGTCATTATGGGGACAGAAAAAAGTAAATGCAGGTACAAAAGGATAATGAAGGGAAGCCATTGAAGCTGGTTTGCAGGAACTACAATGGTGATTCTTTTGAGACAGCCCCCTGAAATGTTACCACTATTGAAGCCATTGACGAAAATGGCGAAGTTCACTGCTACTGTGACTTGGCATCTAGGTAAGTTCTATAATTCTTCTTAGCTTACATGAGAATATATTTGATCTTGTAGACTCTTCCAATTTGATAAACATTAAAACTCGATATATTTTACCTCATAACTAGATATTGCTAGACATGGGTAAGAATCAGATCGCATTTCTGGTTAGAGAAAACGATCTAAAGACCTGCCTATAGCCAGCATTGTTGTCATAGACCACACCACAGTTTCGTTCTTTGTAGTCAACCCGAGAACTGTATTTTGATGGTTAATGGCTTTCGGTTTTCGGTCAAGCAAGTTGCGTAATGCATATAGAGGTCGATGAAATAACCCGTTTGGTTTTTGTCTATGTTACAGGCTTACTGCAGAAGATGCAAGAGGATTCCAATTGCTTCTTCTTGACATTCTTGCCTCCAAGAGAGAAGACAAACCCAAGTAACTTCTTGAATCCGTGAAACTCGTTTCAGTTACGCGATATGTTAATTCTCAAACTATACAGCTTAATTTCTTTTGTTCACTTGTATACGAAGCTTTAACTTGAAATAACTGTGATTTATATCTGTTTATTCAAAATTAGTATACAATGTACTCCACGACTCCTCTTTCGTGGCGGGGTTCATGTGTGATTACTTCATGAACAAAATAAGAATGAACTGTAGTTACAGTACGTCTTAAGGTATATAATATTCATAGAAAAATATGAGATCATCAAGATCTATCACTCATATCCCAAACCCGGAGAGATCTGATGAACTCCAGTTATTGTTGATCATGAGACTTGCAGGAGAGTTCAACTGGTTCGACGGCTCGGAGAACGAACACTCGAGAATCTCTTGGATCTCTTTGTCGTCGAGCAAACTCTGGAACTCGAACATCTCTCTCCGATCATCTGCAAGAAACTGATCGAGACCCTGATCTTCGATCTTCTGGGTAAGATCGAATCCCCCGTAGAACTCGAAACTGGCATCAGTTTCTTGTCCGATTTCCCAATTCACTGGTTCTAATGGGTCGGATGTCGTTGCAGGTGATCCTTCGTCGGACCGTGTGGTATTATCAGTGCTCGAAGGACTCTGATCATTCACGTACTTGGCAAAAACCGCGGCCAGATCGATCTCAGACCCATTCGAACCAGGACAAGCCCTGAATTCCTCATCTGGGTTCAGACCATTCCTCTCACTCGCTATATTCTCATTTCGATCAAACCTCTTGCCGCTGTTCTGTCTCCGGCGGCTTTTCCGGCAGCCGCCACCGACAGGAATGTTCCGGAGAGAGCCCCCTTTAGTCCAATACCGGCGACAACCTTTGCAGAAGTACCTGGGCTGAGACAAGCTGTAGTTGTTGTAGTAACAAAACTTGGTATTGGCCGAAGCACAACGAGGACATGTGGGAGCAGGCTCGTGCCCGTAAGTGAGCTTCCACTTCGCCGGCTTCTCGATCTCCGGCGACGGAAACTGGTAATCGTCGTATGTTATGTATGGTAACATTTTATTCATGTGGGCATCAGAGGAAAACGTGAAGAAAGAGGACAAATGTGGAAAGATTGGAACTTTGGGTATGTGGGTATTTGTGTTTGTGTATGTGCGTGTGTATGACATATATACATGTGCGTGTGTGTATATACATACGTGTATCATACCAAAAATATATATATATATATATACATACGTGTATGTGTGTACGCATAGATGGGGAAGAGCATGTGTGTGGGGGAAGTAGAGGTGCATCGATAAGTGTGTGTAGAAGGGGGAAGTAAACGTGGGCGGTTGCCGAGCCGTCCGGGTTGAGAAATGTGAGGTGTATCTCTTTTTTTTTTTTGTTGACCCTTTTTTATTTTATTTAAAAATATTTCTATTTATTTATTTATTCATAAAGTTTCCTTTAAAGTTCATAATCCAATGTTTAACTAATCACACAAAATATCCTCACGTTAATAGCGGATCATCATCATCATATTTTGGACCGTCTTATAACCAGATTATGTTACATTATTCGCTTTATTAGAAGTTGAAATGAAATGAAAGGTAACTAATTTATCTTCTTCTGTTGTGTAACTTCAGTCTCACATGTGCAAGGTTCATAAGTAGAAATGAAACAGAGGAAGCCTCAAAGAGAGATTTCGGATCCGGTTTAATCAAAACCAAACCGGGAATCGGAGACAAGCCGGAGAAGAAGATCAAGATTCCATAAACCGGAGTAAATTGGGAAAATCAAATTGTAAAAGTGTTGGTAAACCGAAAAAATCGGATTTTTACTTTGGTTTTCTCTCCAAGAACCGAATATCAAATCTTAAAAAGAATTCTTTTCGTTATAATAAAAATCATTGAGGAGTGGGATCGAGAACGCGTAAGTAAATCTTGTGTATGAACCATTTTCGATTTGATCTATTGATTATTTATTTAATTTGCACAATTTTTTAATATTGGTGTAGACGTGTAAACGATTAAAATAAATCCGCAAATGACGACCCCTTAGATCCTTTGCATCTTCTTATCGTGAAAGGCAAAATACAGACGTCATTTGTAAACTAAAACCACTTGAACATTATATTTTTCTTATATTTAAATGAGTGTTCAATTTTACGAAATATTATGCCGTTATTATTTTAAGCTTTGGTTTATTTTTATTTTATTTGCATTTGATTTTCATAAAATAATATTTTTTGAAAAAATAGTTTTATTTTATTTTCATCTTCATATTTGGTTTGGTTTTTAATCCGATGAATTTAGTTTAAAAAATCTTTAGTTTGTTAGTATTATTATCTACTTCGATATTTATAGTGGTGGATAGGTAGGATAAAAAAAATATAATAAGTAGCCATTGCCAAACAGAAATTTAAAATTGATGTGATCTATTTTTAGAAAATAAAATTTGTCAAACAATAATCGGAAAATGAATCAAAATCTGACATAAAAAACCAAATAAAGAAAATAACGGAACTAAAATTGGATATATATATACTATATGCTAAGGATTGTTATTTTTATTATGACAAATAAATTAGTACTAATGATTGATTGATTGGCCATTCTTAAAATCGATCTAAAGTCGATGCCGATCCCAAGGATAGTTGGCGTCCGATGATATGCTTTCAAAGTAATTTATCTTTTAATTTTAAAACAAATAAAATAAATAAATTAAAAAAAAAATTGGAAATAGAAAGTCAAACCTTAATTCCTTTATGCGAGTCATTAATCCGGGCCATGTGAATTTGTATTATTATTAATTAACGTTTGACTAAAGAATTTGACTTTTAAGTGTTTAGTGAAATCTTAATAGATCGACATCTATGACTTCATACTCTCATTGTATATGGTTCTGTTAATGAGCGGATGGTATAATGAAAAATTAACAGTATTTTATCTTCCCTGAATTTTGAATACAAAAGAAATAAAAGAACGTACCTACAAGAATTAGCATGCGGTCTTCATTAGGGATATCTCTCTCCTCCTCAGTCATCTCCTCATCTTTCACACTCTTCCCACTCAACCATAAAAAAACTCTTCCCCAAAATTCTACTTTAACTCAGAGGACCATCTGGTTGCGGATTCTTCCATTACTACTACTGTCCAAGAAACTCAAGTGTTCTACGTTCTCGAACTGAGAAGATCCTCATAAATCCTTCGGATTTTACACTAGTCGAGAAAGCTCGAAAGGGCAAAGGTAAACGTTAATAATCTCTTATCATCTAGGTCCCTCCACTCGCAATATACGTTGTTCATCACTTGGTTCTGACAGTTAAGCGTCGGTGGCTACTTATGGTATTACTCTCTAAGTTTTTCTTCGGATTTGCTATTGTGAACTATGATCTCGATATTCCGAGTTGTCATTGTAAGAATATTTTATATATATAAGATTATCCTTTAACAAAAAAAATATATTTATTAATGACAATGAGTGTAACGTCCCGAGATCGCTATGGAACGTTGGAATTGTCTTCCCATACCAACAGGAGAACTTTTAGTGTGTTTTGTCTTCACTCGTACACATCCCGAAAAGTACTTTACAGGAGGTCACTCGTCCTAAGACTAGTCCAGAGCAAGCACACTTAATTTTGGAATTCTCTCGGGATAGACAACTGAAAAGATAGATGCATCTTGTTGGCAAGAAGAGTTCAATTAATTCATTTAAGTTATCATTGACTGTATAATCTCATACTCATACAGTCATCGGATCTCTCTCATTATGGTGTGTTCGATTCATCGACGTACCCCTTTCACCTAGAAGCTTGCCAAGAATCGCTCTTTGTCTGTGCCCGTACGCATCAGCGATCATTTCTCTGCCCTTATCGGCACCGGATGTCACAATAATCGTGTAATTTTTTTCTTGGCATCATGGTTATTATCTTTTATGAAATTTCTCCAGTAATTTTAGATTATTTTAAAATTCCCCATAAATAAATTCCTAGGAATTTTCTACGTCAAACGCATATAATGCGCATGCATGCACACAATAACAAAACAAATAATTAAAGAAACGCTATTTATATATAAAAAATAAAAGATAGTGTTTGATGATCCACGAACTAATTAATAAACCAAGAACTCATACTTCTCTCACAAAAACTCAATCCTACAGTAACTTGTCTCACACGCAACTACTTAACCGTTCTTGTCGTCACTAACTCGTTACGAATTTGGGTAGAAACTGCCGCTGCGATTGAAGCTGCGGTTACGTGTTTGACACGAAAGGGTTGTTGCCGAGAAACCGAATGATATGACCATCACACCGGAATTATAGCCCGTCGGAAGGTGGTTCCACGCGCCGCCGATGATGCCATTGCCGTTTTAGATGAAGGCTATTGCCATTGCAATGACGGAAAAAGTTCGGAGGAAGACGAGTAGCCGTTGCTTGTATGGTTGAAACTGTGTTGAATCTTGATGGAGCTGCGATTGCCTTGGACTCCATGGTGGTGTTGGAATAACAGAATCCAAAAGGAAAGAGAAGACAGAATCCATGGCTGCCAATGCCATCAATCCTCTTCTACAGATAACAACATGAGTTTACCAACTCTCTGTAAGAATGGGACCAGCCAAGAAGCCAATGCTAGGGCCGCATTATTCCTGAACCTTCGATCAGGTTTTAATTAGCCTCCCGGAGGTCCCCCGAAAGATTCTCCCGTTTTATGAGCTCAATGCAATGTTGAAGAACCATTTTTACAAACACAAGCTTCCGTCATGGCTTGGAACCTCAATCTATGTCTGTATGTCATGAAGTATTGTCGGCCATGGGCGGACCTAGAGAAATATTTAGAAGGGGGCACAATCTAATTTTAATATTTTATATGGGGGCATTTAGCAAATATATTTAAAATTTTATAAATTTTATAAATAAACTTAATATGTTTTTATGAAATCACTGGGGGCACGTGCCCCCATTCCTCTTGTCTTGCGTCCGCCCCTGTTGTCGGCGGATTGCTCCAACAACAGGTAGAAAAATGTGTGTGTGTGTATATATATATATATATATATATATGTATGTATGTATATAAACACTGGAGGATCATTATACTTCTCACGCTGAAGTTTTATATCGACAAATCAAATCTAATTTTTGAATATTTGGTACCGGCGAGAACGGTTTAATATCAAAACTACTTTATATATTATATGGTCCATATTTGTCTTTGTCTGATATGGAAATCATTATTTATTACATCAGCAAAACAAAGTTCTTTTCATTCATTTTGCCAGATTAGCTGAAAACAGTTATATTTTTTCATTTTTGAAACTCCAATTTCTAAACTTTGTTCTAATTCTAAAAATTTGAGAAATAACGATCCAATCCTTTAAAATTAATAATAAAATTATAAATTTTAAAACAAAATATATTATATTTAACTTTAAAATAAATAAATAAATAAAATAAAATAAAATAAAATCTATTTGTATTTTTAGTTTACGCGATGTATGTGAATCATTATTTAGTTCTAAAATTTTGAAAAGTTGTCAACACAAAAATTCGTTTTTTTTAATTCTGATTGGAGAGAATGACCTCTTATAACCAATTTATAAGATATTAAAGTTTTTATCTTTATCTGGCATCTATATATGTCATTTATTTAGTATAATCAAATTAATGAATAAATTGTTTTCATTTCACCAAATAAAAAAAAAGTTAAGTTAATTTTTTGTATTCATCCTTGTTAAAAAGTTGGGACTATCCCACAAAATCTTACTTCCCTTTGAAATCTCTTAGAAGTTGGAAGAATGAATTTCTTCCAAACATATATAGTAACTAAATTATGGGTAATAAAACTGCATAAAAATTTTGTCACCAACACATACATTAGTTCACTTCAAATAGAGTTTCATTATGTTAGTTTGGTTTTTAAAAATAATAATATCCAATCATTTTTAAGATTTCGAATATACAATTATATATTGTTCAATTGAATTTTATGTATCTAAACTAAATTGAAGACACCTTGGAATCTAATTGATTTGAGTTTGAATCTAATATTTTAGAACTTGGAGAATCTATTATATAAAGGTTTTAAATAAATTTCAAGTGGAGTATAAATATGTTGACATTGTCTTGAAAAGATCCGAGTCTTTGACCCTACGAGGACCCAACCAAACACTTTTGACTTTTTCCTAGTTTCCGTGTCTGCTTACCGACTACCCACATTGTTGGACTCTCTCTCTCTCTCTCTCTCTCTCTCTCTCTCTCTATCTCTCTCTCTCGTCATCCTCACAGCCAATAGATTTTAGAGGGCCATATTTTTTTTGTAATTTTAAATAAACCACACAAATTTATAATTTCTTTTTCATGTAATCAACCCAAAATAGATATTGAAAGACGTACGAAAAATATCATATGGAAAATCTTGTGCCGCTTAAAAGGGCCTATATGGTTGGGATAATATTAAAAAAAACTTCAACTGATTTACTTCTTTTGACGAAACAGAAATTATAATATCAGAAACTCGGTGGAAGACTTTGTTCATGCCCTTTTTGTGATCATATAAATTGTGTCATTACATGCATACATACATATACATACATACATACATACATACATACATACATACATACATACATACATACATACATACATACATACATACATACATACATATATATATATATATAATCTATTGCGTACGTACTAGTGACCGCGTTTGACGTAATGCAGGATATGAACTTGTTGTAGTTTGTGTTTCGGCGTTTTTTCTATTTTCCTTTTAGAGACAAAAAAGAATCGAGGTTCAATGTCAATCTTTTTCATTCAACTTTTAAATGTCAATTTAATCGCAAATAATAAGGAAAGGAATAAATAAATGGTGAGGATAAAACGAATATAGTAAAAAAAATTAAAAGTTGTAAAGAACTTTTTGGAAATCCAAAAATAGTTTGTAATAAAAGTTTTGTTATATTCAAATGTATACAACCACATCATAATATTTTTTTTAAAATGTCATTAGCATTTAGCAATAACGATCATCCTAATTACTAATTTACCGTTTTTATAAATTATATATAATGAAAAAAAGGGGGAAAATAGACGAGCCAAATGGATGCTCAGTCAGCAACTGCATGCATGTATGACGTGGCATACGTGACCCTTTCCACGCTACTGACTTGCCCATGACTGGACATTTTCAAACTTCCAAAGTTTTCATCTTTGGTCCCATTCAACTTCACAATATTATCTGAGTTTTGATAAATATTCTTACTGAAATTAAGCCCCGTAATTTATGTTTTCTGTGAAATTAAGGTCCATAATTAAAATTAATATTTTTAACAAAACACTATTATCACATACGTACATAACCGTGTGTGTTTTATCACACTCCTAAGAATAAAACATTTCAACCGGTTCATGATAATATATATGAGAAATTATAAATAATGAATAATTATAACAGTATAAAAGTTTCTATTATTTATATTGTATACTCGATATATAGTAGCCAAAATTTACTCCCCCAATTACCATTTAATTAATTTATATCCACTTTTCTTTCCATTTGACTTTTCTCCCTCCCACTTGTATATATGTATGTGTGTATGTATCGTATGTATAAAAACAAATATATATATATATAGTTCATGTCCGCCCACCCATTTCTCTAAACCCCCCACTTCCAAATCATCACGCAATCATTTCACCATAATCATATCATACACTGCATATACATAAACACGTATACAATATATATACACACATATATATCTTCATGGACCCGTCCGAGAATTCTCAGGCGAATAGATCGCCGAGATCGAGAGAGATTCTCGGTCCGAGACCGGCGCCGTTGAGAGTCAGAAAAGATTCCCACAAGATAAAAAAACCGCCGCTTGCGCCGCCGCAACAGCACCATCCTCACCAAGAAGCTCCACCGCTGCCGGCGCCACCGCCTCCGCGAGCTCCGGTGATCATATACACTGTGTCGCCGAAGATCATACACACAAACCCTAGCGACTTCATGACATTGGTTCAACGTCTCACTGGCAAAACGGCGTCGTCTTCTTCCTCCTCGGGCTTTGCCACGGCGGTTAGAGGCGACGGATCGATATCTCCGGCGGCTCGTTACGCCGCCACAGAGAAAGCTAATAATATATCGTCATCGTCTTCCTCGTCTCCTCCGATCAAGAATCAGTCAAACAGCGAATTAGGGTTTGCGGGAGGGAGCCGTCAAGAACAACAGTTTCCGGCGATCGAACGGCCGAGCTTTTTCCCGGGGATTCTATCGCCGGGACCCACTTCCCTGCCGCCGATATCTCCCAACTTCTTTTCTCCGGTCACGACGATCGATCCATTGACCGGTTTGCCCTTCTTCAATGACATAAGTTCTATTATTCACCAGCCAAGCCCTTCAATACCGTCTCCTTATTCTCTAGACCTCTTCAACAATTTATTTGGTTCTCAATAGTGTTACGTACGGAGCGTAGACATATTTTTTATTGGTTACCATTATGATTCAATCTCAATCATTAGGTTATAGAAATTGGTACGTTTTTATGTGAAAATGTATCTTTACAAACGTCGTTGGATTCTTTAAGCCTCTGATGGAGATAGAGGTTTTGAAGCTAATTGTCATTTTACTCAATAATGGTGATTGATGACGGCATTGTTGGAATTAATTGATGGGGGAAGCAAATTGCAGCTGTTGTTAATTGATTCCGCGTCTCTTATAGATTCGAAAAATTTCAATGGCTGGCGATGGACTTTTAATTGATTATTGCATGTGGGACTTCAATTTTCCTTTACAATTCAATGCATTGTCTTGAATCTTCTTGTTACATGATATACTACTACTAATATTGAACGTTTCTTCCTAATTAAAATTTGTAAATGGATCTAAATTAATACCAACCGAATAATTCAATATGCTAAGTGAAAAAGTGGGTCTCGTTGTATATATATAGAGTAACATTATATATACATGTTTTTGACTCGAAAGGCGAGTCAATTAACTTTAGGGTAAGAAAATTATTAAGTACTTTAGGCATTTGATGACTTGGACATTAATTAGTCATATCAAGAAGATTAATCCCACACTACAAATTTCTTTTTTTATTTATTTATTTACAAGTATATCGATTATTCATTCAATCCAATAACAATAGATCTACGGAGTTTATTATAAGATCAAACATGACAGAAACACCAAACACATGTAGATAAAATTTGCGCTATTGATGTTTGTCCACGTGGAACAAACTCTAAATCAGTAAACAAAACACGAGCTTATACCAAATAATAACGATGGTTAGTTTTATCCAAATATCGAGTTTAATTTATGAATCCTATACATGCATATATATGTTTTGAGATGTGTCCATGTATATATATAGAGAGAGAGAGGGGGGGGGGGTGACATAAAGATGAACAAAATGCCTATAAATTTGTCTAATAGTTACTTTTGAGGGGACCTTCTAGAGATCTTGGAATAGACAAAACAAAAAATCTTTGGTTTCCTGAGACAAGATTTCTATTTGGGATTTCAACAAAAGTCAAGATCTTGAATTAATTTATCGTATGTGGTTTGCTTAAACTTTCCAAAAAAATATTATTTATTTTATTTTATAATTTCATCACATAAGAGCACGTTGCTCAAGAAAACTAGAAAACCCACGAGCAAAAGAAAAAAATAAATAAAAGGGTAGTAATCAAATTGACATTAATTAATTATTATATTAATTAAGTGAAGGAACCACGAAAGCCGATAATGCCAGTTTGGCAATGAAAGTTACATTCTATGTATTAACGATAACATATGCACATCTCACCCACCATTTAATCCAAACCTAACACAAGAAACGTGACACAAAATCAATAGATTTGGATATATATCGAGTAATTTAATTAGTCTTTTGTTCATATATATATATATATAATTGAAAAATAAAACACCGAAGCAAAAAAAAACAGAATTACTTTTATTGTTCCATATTTTAAAAAATATTATGTATATATATATATATAAATAATATTTAAAAAAATTAATATTTGATTTCTTAATTAACATTGTGTCTGTAATTATTTTCAATCATATCTAAGACTAAATATATATTCATATCCAATCATATTTATATTTATTTTCTCATTTCAACACACATATATATATATATCACTTGATCATCTTGTGCATTAGTAGCTATATATGAATAATTACTTGCGGAAAATAAAATATTATGATTGCGGATGAGGAATTTTTTTTTTTTTTTGAGATTGTCTGAAACATGAATCCTATAGGGTGGTTCGAACGTTTTCTTAACTAGGTTAAATTAAATTTTGATGGCGAGATCCTAGCCGATTTTCCGACCAAGTGACCAATATATACATACATATATGTGTGTGTATATATCCGGCGTGCCATTATATATGACCGCATTGCCCTAAAATTTCTACCTTTGGTTAATGAAAACAAAATTCGAGCTATATACGTATACAAGAAGGAAAAAAAATGAGTGAATGAAAATTATAAAATCGTACCCACATGTCTGTGGTCGAGTGGTACATGCACTGGAAATGAGGGTGTTTCTCCTCCAAATCAGGGGTTCGAATCTAGGCATGCGGGGAGGGAGAGACATAGCCAAAGACTGTGTGTTCAAAGGCTGCTCCCGGGCCCAGGGAGATGTAGGTTGGGCCGAAGGCCCAGGTGAACTTCCTGGTTTGACCAAAAAAAAAATTATAAAATCGTGAAGCCCATTTCTTATCCAACAAAAAAATAAATAGTGAAGCCCATTTTAAGACTCCGAACAAAGGAAAAAGACCACTAGTATTATTCCTCGAGCCCATTATGGCAGTGCATGAATATTATTTTGACGGTCGATTCTCAAAATTCATCAGCCAACCGAATTCGATATGCCATTAAAAACATTGCATTTACTTAAAACTCATTGGAAAAATCTCTTATAAATTTTTAATTTGATCTAATTGTTTCAAATTAATATTCTAATTCACGAAATCAAGAGTAATTTATAATTCCGACTCAATTTTTTATATTAAAAATTATCCTATAATTAATATATTGTCATCAAAATCGATGTCGAAAATTACTTCAGATTTCGTTGGAATATCCATTTTAAAACATTTTAACATGTCATGTATTAATTTAAAATATTTTAATATTTGAAATATCAATTAGATCCAATTAAAAATGTAGTTATTTATTTGATATATATTTACCTTGTTGTGCGAGTTTACATTCTTATTCCAAGATCTATACGATAATAACATCATAGGCTATGAATTAAATAACCAAATTCCACGATTGAAACACCATATCCTTCTTTGCCTAAAGACAAGTTATATGTATATATAATATATATTATGATGTTATCTTATGAGAAAATAAATGTCGGGGTTGGTATATGTATTTCAGTGGACATGGATAGGGGTATTATCAAAAATACTCTTACTTTGCTATTTCTACTTCAAGACCTACCCTTGTCACCATGTGACCGAAATATAGTATGATCACATATTGATCTCATTGTTCATAACATTAAATTTATGATGTTTTAATCAAATGATTAGTAAGATATACAAGGTATGAACATAATGAATATGAACATAATGAATGAGTGTGATCATCATAAATTTAACGTTATAATCGATAAAATCAAAATGTGATCATACTATATTTCGGTCACATTGGTCACATGGTTATTAAGGGTAGGTGTTGTAAGGGTAGGTGTTGAAGTAGAAAGAGCAAATTAAAGATATTTTTGATATAATGCCACATGAATAATATGGGACATTTAAAGAGGCATGCATCATCATGACGACGGTCCATGTAGATAATAAATACGGTATGCCATATTAAATGCGTCACCAAATTTAACGTTTGTCCGACTCTGTTGATTTATCCGAAAGTTAATGTATGTCTTTTCAGGTTGCAGGTCCCACTTAGATTTCCACTTTATTATAAAAAATAATCTAAAAAATCACTCCAAAAAAAATTCTATATAAATTCATTAACTTTATCAAATTTATATAAAAATCATAAACTTTATTAATTTTGCATAATATTCCAGAAATTCTTTTAAGTTGGTTTGTAAAATTAATAAATATGTAGAAATATGAGAGAAATTATAAAATTCATAATTTTATATTATTTTTTTTAGAAATTCCTGATTTTTTTAGGTTATTGTCCCCCCTTTTGACGCTGCTAGTTGCTATTATATTTTGATTTCGGTATTTAATAGATAACATGGTTCGAATTAAACTAACATTCTAAAGTATTTAAAAGGGTGTTTATAATTTTGTCTGAATTAGATATTTATAACATATCTAAATTCGTTTTACACTCGAAAGTTTATGAAATTAAAATTGATTATTATATTAAACAAATCATATACATATATATATATATATAATATTAGTTTCTTACCGCACGATTTAGTATTTTATATTTTGTTTGGACAATTTAATATCGAAACTGATCTTTTGGTATGTATTAATGATAACATGATATCGCGTTATGTGTCATTTTTTTCACCTCCGTATGTTATCGACAATGTTATGTATATTTTGTAAAATTGCACCATTGTTGATACTCTAACCTCGCTGCTATATAACCTATAGTTTTTTTTGGGTAAACCAATAATTTCTGAATTTAATTAATACATTCTTTCCAATGGTTTCGATACATCATTGAGAATTTTAGGATGGTAAACAGATTAAACGCAAAGAATCATAATATATACACACACAAACGAACACAAGAATTAAAAACAGAAGATATATATATATATATATATATATATATATATATATATTAAACAATTGAGTAAGTTATATTTTTTTAACAAAGAATATTAGTTCACACACTGTCGGGGTTTATTATTATTATTATTATAATAATAATAAAAACATATCTCTTTTTTGTTTATTTGATAGATCTTTTGGATTGCAATGTTCTTAAAATCCCCAAAAAAAAAAAACTTGGAACGACGAAGACGAAGACAAGGGCATGGAGTGGAGAGAAGACAGAACAGGTGGATGTGTGGGGCCCCACCACATCTGTCTGCCGTTGATTTTCGAACTTCTCTCTTATTTATTGCTATCACCCCCTTGGTTCTTTTCCTTTTGTTTTTTATTATTATATTTTTTAATTTATATTTATTCCACTGTAAGACCATTATTTATATATCGACATCTTGTTTTTCTTTATCTTTAATTTGTTTTAAAGCGTATCTATCAAACCGTCTATGTATGTATCTACGAATTTTATTTAAGATTAAAAACTAGTCATTTAAATAATTTTTGGATAATTTAGTGTCCTAAACCCTTGGAATGGACAAAGATACATTTAGTTATTGGCTAATGGCCATCATATTTGTCTTGTCCGATGATATCTCGAATTATGTTTAAGACAAATTTATTCGGAATATCTCCGAAAAGAAATATTAAGATGTTTTCTACATCGGTAAATTCCATGTGAATCATAAAAAAAAATTAACAATTTGGTATATCTATCATTAGAATTAATCAATATAGAATACTCATGATGGTGTAATCTGCTTTTAAGATTTCACGTAAATCATATTTTATATATTATTTTGAAATGATAACAGCTAAGAGTAAAATTGATTTAAATCACGTTGAATCCGATAAAAAAAAATGTAATTTTTATTTATAAAAAAAATGATGAAAATATTTTAGATGCAA